TCTCATTTTTACTTTCTCCTTCCTTCCTTCCTTTTCCTTCCCTCTCTCCTTCCCTCCCTCCCTTCGTTCCTCTTTCACTCTCCTTCGTCTCTCTCATTTTTACTTCCTTTCTCCCTCCCTTCCCAAACCCTACTTTTATCTTCATCTGCTCCCAAGAAGTCCTCTTACCAGCACTGAGGTCTCCTCCACCGCGTCCAACCTCTCCGTGCGACATAATACTTTTCGGGGGCATCTTGGTGCCAAAAGCCGTCTGGATGTTTTCCACGAAGGTCTTGCAGTGAGGGCTGTCCACCCAGATCCGTTCCCCCAGCGAATCCTCCATGTAAACCTAGAGAAGGGGGAAGGCACCACCGTCTCTTCCATGAAGGGCCCCGCGTTCCCTTCGTCAGCCCTAGAAAAGCACGGCCTCCCCGTCGGCCCACCTTGACAAATATCTCAGGCCAGTTTTCGTCTTCCTCATAAGCCGCCATGAGAAGGTTGCAGGCCAAGACGGACACCAGGCTGTTCCCTTTGGCTTTGAAGTTGATGGAGGCATCTCGGCGGAGAAGGCTGCACAGCGCCTGGGGAAGCAAAAGGTTCCTGAGCATGAGAAAAAAGCCAGTCGGAATGCCCGTCCCGCTGGAGAACCTTCGCAACGGGCCTGGACAGGGAAGCAGAGCTGGGCCACTCTTGAACTGATAAGGGGAGGGTGTATCTCCATTTTGTTTAAAGAACCTGCCTGGGGATCAGGGATAAGACCCCTTGTGTAAGGTGGGGCTGCCCCGGAGAAGGAGAACATTTTGGTGGTCCCCAGAGAAATGTCGCCCCCAAAGCAATTAATCCAGGCTGTGCGGGAACACAAGGCTGCGCCACCCACAGGGCCCCCAACCTTCAGCCGAGTGCAACCCTTGAGCAGAGCCACACCAGCTAGAACTGGAAGGTAAGACCAACGGCAGGGGAGGGAAATCCGCCCCAGGGTGGCTTGCGGACGTCGGTGGGAAAGTCGGTCCCCTATTCCAGAGCTGCAATAGTCACAGGACTGACCCTTTGGTCATCCCAGAGCAGCTTCTCCAGTCCATAGCAGGCCGGTGCACCTGAGTGGAGGAATAGCTGCTCCGGGATGACCAAAGGGCCGGTCCTGTGACTCCTGCAGCTTTGGAATATGGAACCGACTTTCCCACCAAAGTCCGCAAGCCACCCCCAGTCAAAATCCGTATCAGTGGTCCAAGCGGGATTTAAAATGATGAGTGTGGTGGTCCCTGAGGTCCAAAAGGTTGGCGACCCCTGGACTAGATGACCTCCGAGGTGCCTCCCAATGCTGTTATTCCAGTTCTGCCTGCCCCTCACCTCAATCACGCCTTCCGTGGCGAAGATGTTTGGCTTGATTTTCGCCAGGTACATCAAAGTCAGGTAGAGGGTGATGTCAGGCTTGGCCCGATTCATTTTCAGCTGCTTCACGGCTCCGCATAACACCCCTTCGATGCGGTCATCGTTGCCTTCAGCTTCGGCGGACTCGATCTCGTCCAGCAGAGCGTTGGGGGCCACTGTCAGCAAAGGGAAATCGCGGCAGCTGCTGGGCAGCCCAAACTCCCACTAAAACACCCACCCACAGCTGGGTATTGTAAACGGCTACAATGGCAAGATTTACTGGGTTCCAGGCCCCAATATATTCCATTTTTTAAAATTCTGTTTAGCCAATGGGCATATCAAACTATCAGAAAAACCATTCAATACATCATCATCTTCTTTTAAAGACCCTGTAACCCCTTGCATCAGGGTGAAGTCTTGGCAACTGAATGGAGCTGAGTATTTACTGGCCGGTTGCCTCTCCTATCGCCAGTGCAGAGTTTTGTTCAGCAGATATATTCTCATTGTGAACACAGAGAGAGAAATATCTGCCTCTCTCTAGGATCAAACTCACAGCCCTCCTGATGGTGAGGAGACAATCGCTCAATACCTACCCGATAAAATACATTGATCAATATCTGCCGCTGCCCTAGAGTTTACCTTCGATAGGAATGACTGACGGTTCTTTGATGGAAGGCGAAATGGCTCGCTTCTCAGCCACGGCGGCCTCGGCCAAACGTCCCAGGGCGCTGAGAGGGGGCGTGGAGGAAAGTTTAGGGCGCTTGGCCAGCCCGGAGGTGCTGGACAAAGCAGATGTCGCCGACTCGCGCTTCCGCTCGGAGGGCAACCCGGACGATGTCGGCTTGAGCAAGGTGGCGGTCGCCTTGGACTCTCCCACCTGGCCTTTGGAGCCCAAAGCGATGAAGTCCCCCGGAGGAGGGTGGCCTAAGACGGGACAATGGGGGGGAGAAGAAGGAGGAAGAGATCAGGTAAGATTGTGGGGAGCCCCATGCCTCTTTCTTTATATTTATACGTGTGTGTGTGTGTGTGTGTGTGTGTGTATGTATATATGTATGAATGTATGCAGGTCTTGGCAAACACGCCAAGACCTGAATACCTGTACCCATGAAAATGTACGAAAACAAATATATATGTATGTATGTATGTATACGTACGTACGTGTATGTATATGTACGTATATACGTATATGTATGTATGTGTATATATATATGTGTATGTATGTATGTATGTATGCAGGTCTTGGCAAATACGTCAAGACCTCCATACCTGTACCCGTGAAAATCTACGAAAACAAATATATATGTATGTATGTATGTATGTATGTATGTATAGTAGTATATATAGTATGTATATACAGGTATACGTGTATATCTATGTATATATACATACACGTATGTATATTTCACCAGCTTCTCTTATTGCTTTATAACTACATCTAATCCATTTTAATTTTTGTTTTCTAGCCATTGACACACATATAGACGGGGGGGTGTAGGTGGGGGACCCCTCCCCTTTGGAGACCCCGCTATTTTTGCCCTTTCACACGTGCCCCCCCGACACGCGTCTTCTGGGGGGGGGGATACCCCCCCCAAATCCTTCCTTTCCAGGCCTTTCCTCGCGAGGAGACCCCCCACCGCCACGAACGCCCACCCACCCACAGATGGGGAGCGACGGGGGGGACCCTTCCCCTCTTTCCCCAGCCCCCTTACCGGAGGGCTTGGAGACGGCGCTGGGGCGGCGCGCGGCCGCGGGCTTCGTCCGGTTCATCTTCGCGGCGGGGGAGGGGGGCGGTCCTCCCCCCAAAAGAGGGGGGATTTGTGGAGGGGGGGCGTCCCTGGAAGGGAGGGGAGGATCGCGGAGCTGCCGGTTTCTCCGCTTCGGACAGCCGAGATGGGAAGATAAACCGGAAGTCCCGCTGGTTGCGACCCGAAAGCGGCCCCTCTAGGAAGGAGAGCGTTTTCTTTTTCGGCTACCACCGGTGGCCAGGAGGTCGAACTGAAGCTTCTTCGCTTTAACGGAGCAGAATCGGACGAACAACCCGGGGCCTGTGGGGCAAAGGGACGAGCACAGCGACCCCGCGCGGCTGAGAGGGATAACTGCATGTTTTTAATGATAGCAATAGAACTTAAGACTTATATACAGCTTCATAGTGCTTTACAGCCCCCTCTAAGCGGTTTACAGAGTCAGCCTCTTGTCTCTAACAAACTGGGTCTGAATTTTACTGACCTCGGAGGGACAGAAGGCTGAGTCTACCTTGGGCTGGTCAGAATCGAATTCCTGGCATTGGGCAGATTCAGCCTGTAAATACTGCATTCTAACCAGTGCACAACCGCAGCTCTTAAAAATAGTTGCACTTATACACTACTTCACAGTGCTTTTACAACCCTATCCAAGTGGTTTACAAAGTCAGCCTCTTGCCCCCAACAATCTGGCTCCTCATTTGACCGACCTTGGAAAGGACAGAAGGCTGAATCAACCTGGAGCTGGTCAGGATCGAACCGCTGGCAGTGGGCAGAGTCAGCCTGCAATTCTGCATTCTAACCACTGCAGTACTATGGCCGTTAAAGATCCTGGATGTTTTTGTTGCAAACATTGGAATGCGTGGCCAATCGATGGAGGGTGTTTCGCAGTTGCAGATTGGACGAAATGCAGTGCTGGGAACTGTCTATGGCTGGAAAGGAGCTGATCTTCACCTGCCATGACTGGAGGGGTTGGTTTGGGATGCGTGGGGGAGGCGAAACAGCCAGACCACAGACAAAGAACACATCACATTGTATTTTATTTCTTTCTTGGTACCGAAACTCTGGGAAAAGAATCAAGCAGAATATAAATATATATATATATATATGTAAAATAAAGCAACTGCTCCAGAGAGATGAAGTTCACATTTCCTTTTTCTTCCAATGCACCACAAAATTACACAGCAGATGTTGATGTACAGCAGTGTAGGTGAAACTGGACAACTTGGAGACGTGTGGACTTCAACTTCCAAGCTGGGGAATTCTGGGAGTTGAAGTCCACATGTCTCCAACTTGTCGCACTTAATCAGCACTGCTATATATTATATTTGTTGATTTGTCTGGCTACCCCTGCCATTCTGGTACCCCCCACCCCAAAAGTCACAGGACAGCTAAATGAGGAATTCTGCTGGACATCTTTACGGTGATGGTCCATAGCTGGCTTCACAAAAAGTGGGTAGTCCAAAAAAAGGCTTAGCTAACCCCGTTGTGGTTTTACTGGCAGTAGCACTAAAAACCTGCTGTGGTTTTGAGCATTGCTAGGAATTTTCGACAGCTTTGAGCAAGGAGGGAAACCTCCCTGTTTTTTACTAAGGGGAAAACAAAATTCCCCAAACCCCAGCAGTTGGGAAAACTGTGGGTGGGAAAACTAGTGCAAATTGGATTTCCTGAAGTAGAAATCTGTGCATTTTAGTACAGTACATTCATTCATTCTGAGGGTGATACAGAGAGGGGCGAAATGCCCTCCCTAATTCGGAGTAATGCTGAGAAATACACCCCACGTTCTCACACTAATGTGGCAAGAGAATTAAACCTGCCCCATTAGCAAGGATTCTGCAGCAAACTCTTCTAAATCCCGAAATTTAAAAGCAGTGCAGCAGAATATTGCAAGGCTACCCTTGGTAAAGTTGCAAACTTGGTTAAATGACCAAAGCATCCAATGGTAGAGAGAATGAAGGATGGCTAATAATAATAAGGGCTGGGCATTTGGGCTCAGTTCTTGGTGCTTCGGAAGTGTTAATTTACCTGTAAGGAATGAAGCAGGTTTGTTACAAGGTGAAATATCACCCTTCACAATTGTGGGTTTTACCAACAATGCTAGCAAAATACTTTGACACGGAGGTAAGAATTCAGGACATCTGGCTTTGAGATGGAGTCTTAGGCCAGTAAGAGAACAGAGGTACACAAATTTCTGTATTTTAGAACCTCCATAGACGTTTTCCTTTCCTTCCTTTCTCCTTTGCTTTCCTTCCTTTCTGTTCCCTTCTTTCCTTTTTTCCCTTCTCCTTCTGTCCTTTCGTTTCCTTCCTTTCTCCTTTCCTTCCTTTCTGTTCCTTTCCTTCCCCTTCTTTCCTTCTTTCCCCAACAGTGCTTTTTTTCCAAGAGGCAGGTGGACTTCCTGGTTTTTCTTGGAAGACATTTCACTTCTCCTCCAAGAAGCTTCTTCAGCTCTGATTGGATGGTGGATGGATGAACGGATCCAGACCGAGCTAAAGAAGCTCCTTGGAGGAGAAGCGAAACGTCTTCCAAGAAAAACCAGAAAGCCCACCTGCCTCTTGGAAAAAAAGCACCGTGGGGACAAAACCACGACTTGGAGGGCTGAGAATCTCCGTAGACGTCCCCTCTAGGCTACAACTGGGAGAGAGAGATCTGTGACGCTTCTCATTCAGAACGACCTGGCAGATACGCTCCCAGATTTTGATGGGAGGAATTCCTTCCGCCTCCAGCCTTCATCACCCAGGATATTAAACGGCGGAGAATTGAGAAGGTTCACCACGCCCACCGTCCAAGTTCACCCAACGGTGTAAGAGGGAATCTCAGTGAACCCCAGGCTGCTGACCCAAATGCCAGGGACTCCTCAAGAGGTCAGTTCCAGTGACTCCGACTCGAAGTTCTCCTTTTTTTTTTCCAGGAAAAGGTGCAAAGCGCCACTCGCAGGAGATGTTTGGCAACATGCAGCGGAGCAAAACACGGAAGACGATGAGAGGCCTGTGCCGAAAAGCATGGAGCGGAAGCTGTGGAAGAGAAGGCCTTTTCCAAGCAGGAGGAGGAGGAGGAGGAGGAGGAAGGAGCCATTGGCCAAGCAGGAGAAGGCTCTTGCCCGAGAAGATGCGAGGAGGAGGAGGCCACGGCACGGCTCAGCTGGGGAGGCACGTGAGGACCCCACGCCGAGGTTTCCCCCACAAGCGACGGCTCCGTTTCCTTGTGGCGGTGGGTTCGTCATGCAACTGGCGCAGAGGAAATCCTCCTGGTCTCACATCCACCGGACGGAGAAACCCTGGCTGAGGGGAAGCTGCAGGTTGCTCACGTGGAGTACCTTTGGGGGTGAACGCAAAAGATTGGGAAGTGGAGTGGACGGCCCCGTGGCTTTACGGCTGGGCCCTCCGACCTTGGCCACTTTTTAAGACTTGTGGACTTCAACTCCCCGAGTTCCTTAGCTAGCAAAGCTCTCTATGTTTACGGAGTTGTTCTCATTTGGGGCGTTTTCATGCTCTACTTTTTCTACTAGAGTAAACCTACGCCATCAGACGAGAAACTGGGAAAAGCAAGAAGCGAAACAATAAAAAGAACAAAGCTAACAACAGTTGAAGAGTATTTAAGTGGAGCATTGGAAGAATTGTGGCAACCCTTACTTTTGCAATAGTGGCGAATATCGGTAGCTCGGGGGTAGGAATAAGGTGATGGCTTGGTGAGAACGGAGCAGCGCTCCATGCGCCTTCAAAGGCATTTAGTCCTGCTGGCCACATGACCATGGAGATGTCTTCGGACAGCGCTGGCTCTTCTTCGGCTGTGTGATGGAGATGAGCACTGGTCCCCTAGAGCCGGAAATGACTAGCATGGATGTGCGAGGGGAACCTTTACCTTAAAAATTAGGCATAAGGCGTAAGTCGTTCATAAAAGTTACCTACTAGTAAACCGACTTGGGTCCATTTGCATGTAGCAAGAACCAAATAGATGGAGCCTTTCTCTCTGCTGGCTGAGCAATTCTGGGAACTGAAGTCCACAAGTCTGAAAGTTGCCACGTTCAGAGACCCCTGGTCTGAATAAGCAGTTGGTTAATTACCTGATTGGTCAAATAAGTGAAAGTCCAGTTTTTGCCACTGACGGTGACCGTTTTCGGCTCTTCGCGGACTCCGTAGACACTGAGTTTATCCACCGTGATGTAGGTGGCTTCGGTATTGGAATGCAGGACGGTGGAGATGAAAGTGTTCTGGAAGAAGGTGAAGAAGGTGAAGGAGGAGGAGGAGGAGGAGGAGGAGAGCTCATGTTTCCCAAACAGGGAGAGGTGATAAATGGCAGCTACAATGACCTCCCCTCACTGCTAACCTGCAGTTATAAAGACACGTGGATCAGTTTTCCCTCAAAACATTGAATTTTGTCAAGAAAGGAAGGGTTAAGATGTTGGCAGGATGGCACCCCTGGCAGGTATGCAGGTCTCCAGTTGAAAGATCCAATTCTGGCTGATGTTGCCTTCTAAAAATGTCCACTGTTTGATGCTGGACAACAACGGGACGTCTGGAGGGCCAAAAACTCTCTCTCTCTCTCTCTCTCTCTCACACACACACACACACACACACACCCTTAAACTGTGTAAATGCTGCACCCCCACAAGGAGATGCTGAGATAGACTTTTCCTGCACTTTTAAAATTCCAGGGAAGAAGGAACATCGGGTATCCTTCCTGTGTGCAATTTGACCAATCCTCATTCTCCCTTCTCTGATTTTCCCTGAAATGTACAGTCAAGCAAAGGATGGCAAAAAAAAACCTAAGCAGATCTGCTTTTAAATAGGGAAGTTATATTCTGCATCTATCTTTCCCTTTTCTTGTATTGGTACATCAAAAGACGGTGCAAAAGAAAGCAACCTTTTAAGAAGCAGCCTCTGTGTGGCTCTTTTAAAAGGGAGGTCTACGTGGTCGGCTGCGATTCACAGGAAGAGAAGAGAAGTTCACGCTGTGGGTGTCCAGGAGAAGTCCCACGTCCCCTTCGAGGGAGAGCTAATCCCAAAACATCTCTTCTTGGGTACAGCCAGGAAGGAGAACGGGGCAGAGGAAGCTCCCTCCTCCTCCTCATGGCTCGCAGGTGGGACCTTC